CTGCGAGTCTGTAGGATTGCTCGGGCCTGGCGCGAAGTCACGGTTATGTTTGTAGATCGTAACGGATCGGTGCTGCCTTTGACATGAAAAGAGAAGACTTCGAGGAGACCTAATAGCTGCCTTCCAATACAGGAAGGGAACCTACAGGAAGGCTGGGGAGGGACTTTTTACAAGAGTGTCCGCTGACAGGACAAGGGGAAATGGGTTTAAGTTGAAGGAGAACAGATTTAGATTAGATCTTAGGAAGAAATTCTTCAGTAGGAGGGTGGTGAGACTTTGGAATAGATTGCCCAGAGAGGTTGCGGATGCCCCCTCCCTGGAGGGGTTCAGGGCCAGGTTGGACGGAGCCTTGAGTTGCCTGATCTAGTTGAGAGGCGTCCCTGCCCATGACAGGGAGGTTGGATTAGATGATCTCTAAGGTCCCTTCCAGCCTGTGCCATTCTATGATTCTATGTTCAGGTTTCTTTATCACAGTAGCAGTGGTGGTCATTTCTTCCCTGCCAACAGGAAGGCAGTGAACTAGTCTGTTAAGAGGTCTAGATGAAAATGGAGCAGTATATTCCTTTTTTTATTATTATCTGAAAACAGTGCATGTGTGAAGATGTTTCGTTCCCTCTGCTTTGGTCTTGGAAGCGCACTTGAAGTGTATCTGGCTTAGATACATTCCACAGAATGGAAACGCTTTAGTTTTTCATCTTGGCTTTTATTTATCAAATATTTGAAATATGAAAAATGAACTTGCTGTAACAACATGGTTCTTCAAGGTGAGAGGGAACATAGATTTAATAGATTTAATGTGTTGAGCCAGTCTACTGATCTGCAAGTGAACTAGTAGTTTTGTTACTATGTGGCAATGAATGAGGGCACTTACTCAATTTACAAATATTAAGATATTTAATAGCATATACTTGATAAACGTAACATGTGAGTTCTTACTTGTGACTCTGAATTCATTGCAATTCAGAGAATCTGAGTGAGAATGAAGCCTGTAGTGCCAAGTTTATACGTGTATAAGCCTAATAAGGTGTCCATGTAGCAGATGGCTTATGGAGGGGTAAAAACATGTGAAAAACCCGGACTGACAAAGTGGAGCCGTGGAGTAATGAGTATCCCAGGCTGCCCATGGACTGCTGTATCCAGTAAGAGCAGTAACTTTTAAAAGGGTTCTTCTTTTTCCCCCTTTTTCCTTCCCCTCTTTCTCACCTTTTTTTAAAATTTATCTCTTCTTCTCAGGAACATTAGTCTTTCCTAAATACGTTTCTAATCTCAGATTTCTGTCTTGGAGAGGAGATGACATTAAGGGTTGGGCAGATGATGTGGGAACAGCAAAGTTCATTAGTAAACGGAATGTATAGTAGAAGTTGGCAAAGAATCATTGTGAAGCGCTGTGTCATAGATAAGTCACCGAGCTAGATACGATATCTCAGTTACTCTACTTTGCTCATGATTACTCGACAAAACGCTTTATCAAAATAGACTTAAGAGACTGCAGGAGCCAGAAGTTGTGATTGTTTTTCTACTCCATGAGCAGTAATAAAATTCCTTATTTCTGTTCTCTGACAAAAGATTAAAATATTCTGACCGATCCAAGTAGTCATCATCTACAGACTATTATTGCACTGCTACTCTGGGAACAGAGTGCCTAAATACTACAGCATATTGCAAAGCAGTGCAAAAAGTTAATGATATTAACTGTCAACATGCCTCGCAAAAATTTGGAGACAGTCAAATATTTGCTAAGTGATAGCGTCTTTGTGTAGTATTTAATGATTTTCTTGTCAATGGTGCTATGTTGACAGATATCAGCCTTTTACAGTCCTTCACAGACGCAGCACAAAATTGCATGTTGGATTCATCTGCCTTTGTTCACCACTTACTATGAAAAAACAGACCTTGGGCGTGTTCTGTAAGCATAGGGTATCTGTTCTTCATTTGCTTAATCTATTCCTTTCCATTTCAGTGTGACCAGTAGTTAATTACGTGCTAGCATGTCCTGCAGTGTTGTGTTTCTTTTCCTATGAGCTTAATTGCCCCAGACTGTACAACTGTGTGGGTATGGAGATACCACTGGTCTCTTTCTGTGATGTTCTCTGCCAGAAGTGGATTGAAGTCCCAAGTCAGAAATTCTGTGAGTGCTTGCTTGCTTTCTGTGCAGGCATGGGGTGACACAAGTTCCAATAAAAGCCTTTTTTATGAATTCCTTTATGTTTGCAAAAATGCATTTTAAATGGAAGTAGTTGTAATGGTATATATGGTAGGATAATGACATATTATGGGAAAAAAAATCTCTGTTATTGACTGGCAAAATCTGACAGTCCGTGGCAGGTAGTTTGCTAAGAATAAATTTAGCTTTAAATTTTAAAGACTGCCATTCCCCCTGAAGTTGAAAAGTAATACTGCTGCAGGAGGGTGGTTAGTCGTCGCAGGTTTAATCACTAATTTATTAGTAGGTTCTCTGATGAAAGTTTAAAAGCTTCTTAATTCTCTGGATTTCATCAGCAGCGAAACTGAGGATTTGCTAAGATTGGTCATGCCAAATACAACGATCGGAACACGGTGTCTTTTCTTCACTAGGGTGCTTGTGCTCTGCCTTCCTCTTGACACTGTGTTGTGTCATGTCTGTACAGTCCTGGTCGAGGTGTGGTGCAAATCTTGCTTTGTGTAGGAGCTATTTCGAGCTACGCTTTTAAGTTACGTGGGGCTCCACGGCGTCTCGTGTTATTCACAACAAGCCTGTTACTGTCAGTTCGGCATTTTTGATTTGTCATGATAAAAGCTTAGAGTTGAAACATCAAGCTTCGAATCACTATGGAAGATACGAGATTGTGTTATTATCTTTGATACTTGCTACTGCCCATCGTGCCACTCTCTTACAATAACTTAACGACATTAAGTTTGGTTCCCTTTGGAATGCAGATGAAGCAAGTGCAGCACAGGTCAGAGTCAGGTAAAATTTTCAAAGGTTAAGGCTCAGCTTTCGACGTAAACCATTTCAACATGTATAACTTGAGAAAATACTTCAAAGCACAGTGATGCTAGCAAAATCAACCAGGATATGTCATCTCTTTGCATGTTCTTGCTAGTGGATAGTATGAAAATTTACCTGGCTGGAAATACTGAGTGTCGTTTGTGAGGGTTGTTTTGTTTTGGTCTCTAAAAGATAGATGTTAGCCAGTCTTATGTTTTAACCAAATTTAGTATCTCTCTAGAAAGAGCCAGCTAGTTATTTATCTGTTAGTAGGATATAAAGTAGAGCATACAGCCTGATAAACAGTGTGTTAAGACACTTCTCCATCTAAGTGCAGTGTTTATTGTCTATCAACACAAGCATATGTCATCTGTGAAAATGTTCCTGTGAGAAGGCAGATGCCTACAAATGTCAGTCAGTCATCATCTGTGGATGAGTTGTTGGTTTACCTTCAGTGTCACTTTATCTCTTCAGCGTGGTCAGGAGTGGTTGGTTTCTGTTCTTCAGGCAAATCTGATTTATGTGGAAAGCAGAAAGCTGAAAAAGGCAGAACTTGTGAAATGTTTGTTTAAAAACTTCATGTGCTGTAAGGAATTAGTATGTTAGTCTAGTTCAGGCAATGCCTGAACTGATTATTCTGGTTGTGCTTATGGCTTTACAAAGATGATTTAAAAACAGTTTTAAAACACTGTGATTTTCTATGTTGCCGGATTATAAAATGACCATCATCTAACTAATGTTAAAACACTTACAAATCTGAATTTTGTAGTTCTTTGAAATCTTGGATTAATTTTTCTAATTTCTTTTCAGATAACAGAAGATTTCCTGGCAACGTATCATGCCAACTATGGCTTCCACGCAGATGATACAGACAGTTCATCTGCTTCTGGCACAGCAACTGAAAGTAAGCAACCAGTAAGTTCTAAGACATCAGGAACGCAACCATCAGCAAATGAGAAAGGACCAGGACAAACAGATCCTAAACAAAAAACAGAAAAAAGGAAGCTTGAGCCAGGTAAGTGACAGAGGGTTTCCTTCTTGTGTAGGCTGCAACTTACATAGTGCTGAGTGGAAACTGACAGTTGTTCAGTGTTACCATTATCAGGTACAGCAAAGACACAGGTTGTTCTGAAAACTCCCAGAATGATTTTAAAATTACATGGTGCTTCATAGGTATCCTCCTAAGTCCATATGCAAGGTGGAAAAAAGCAAATTAAGGCGTGTTCAGAGCTTTTCCTGTGGGCAAGCAAAAATTCTTAGAAATCAGATGAAATGTGAACATTAGTGTATGCTCCCATGTTTAATATTTTGGCATAACTGAAACAAACCTCTGTTTTTAGGATGGTTTCATGTTGAAGAAGACAGAAACACAAATGTTTATGTGACTGGTAAGTAATAACATGTATTTATCTACTTTGAGCTAAAGATGGTAAAAGAGACTCATATATGTCTCACTGACTTCTAATATTGCTTATTCAGTCTGCCATTTGCAAGCTACTGAACGTTATGTTCCTGACTGCATAATGTCTTTGTGACCTTTAAACTGCAGATGTGGGAAAGTAATATCAGTAATGTCCATGCTTTTATCTTTTAAACATGATATTCTGTGAGCTGTGTCAGCTGAGTCACTTTTTTTTTTAAAGTAAGCTACAGCCAACAAAAGCAACTTCTGCAAGCTCCTAAGGAATAGGATAATGAGAACAAGTTTAAAGGAAGATGGTGCATTGACTATACACATCACTTAATATTTTCATCTTTAATTTTTATTTGATTTTATAAATACATAATTAAATTATTGGATAAGAAGGAGGAAACAGTAAGTGCAAAAAAGAAAAGCTGGGAATAGAATGAGTAAGTAAAGGGGAAGCTCAAATGAAGCTGTCTGTACATTTATTATGGAATTTCTCTGTTTTGGATGTTGGAGTGCTATCTTTAGGTGCATGCACAAAGGTACATTTGGTGGTTCTGAGCAGTCACAGAAATGCAGACACTGGAATTCTCAAAAATCTTAAATCTTAATCCAGGCCAAACTAGCGTGGAACATTGATATAATTTTTTCCTCCTTTTTTTTTTTTTTTCCTTATCCTCAATTCAAAGTTAAGACTTTGAAAACTCCATACATTATCAGTTGCTTTTCTGGTTGAATTTGCGGGTGGAGAAAGTAGTCATCTGTTGATAGGTTGAGGGTTTTTCTTGTCTCCAATCCCTAGAGGCGCAGGGAAGCTTAAAACTTGGGCAGGATAGTTATATTTGCACGGGCCATTGTGTCCACTGCAGTGTTGGTACAACGTATGGCACTAAAGCTCTAGGTCTGCATGTTAGGGAGCACAGAGATGTTGCTGTATGTTACACCTATTACGAAGTAAAAGGATTTTCAAAATATTGGTATGAAGTAATGTTTAAAAGACAGTATCAAAAATATTGGTCCCAAGGGCAGTGATTTCTTATGGTGTATGTAAAATTTCGGCCTTAAGTTTGATATCTTTCATTTAAAGAAACACTGTGGGGGGTTTTATTCTGGTGAGATTTTTTAAAAAAATTGGATGTACTCAAGCCTTTGTTTTGCAGGTTTACCTCCAGACATTACAAAAGATGAATTTATACAAGTCATGTCAAAATGCGGTATCATTATGCGAGATCCCCAGACAGAAGAACACAAAATCAAACTTTACAAAGATAAGGAAGGAAATCTTAAAGGAGACGGCCTCTGTTGCTATCTAAAGGTTAGTGGTGCACTGAAATGCAGTTTTCCTTCCTGTTGAAGATATTTGTGGCCACTGTTTCAGAATCACATTCGGAAGACTCTTGAAATATCTGAAGTATAACTCAGAATTTAGGTGTCTGTGTTAAAAGATTTATTCCAGAACTGCCCGCTTACCTACTTGTGCAGCTCATTCGTGCACGCCTTATCCACCCCGACTCTCCCACTGAAAATGTCCATGTGTTCCTGTCTTGGGTGCCAGGGATTATGCGGTAAAATGGGGGACCTCTTCACCTTGTACTTCGAAAATATGCCACTGCATGGCTGAGAATACAAAAATAAACAGACAGGAAGGAACATACTGTAGTCCTGTATTTACAGCTTTAGTTGAGAGCTGGCCAGGTTCAGAAGTGTTCTTCCATTCTGTATTAACCTATAAAAGTTTAGACTGCAGTACGATTTCCTTCATGTGTGAATAATTTGGAAAGTTAGTGCTTGCAAATGCAATCTGCTTTAACTCTGCAAGAAGCACCAGGCAGTACTAAATCAACTGCCTGGTTAGTAGTTAGGACTGTTCAGTCAATCTTCACTCTAAAGGATTTTTAGGAAACGTTAAAAACGACTTCAAGAGCCTCAAGGTCTCCCACTCTTGGAAGAGCGATACAAGCTTTATAGAAAACCAGCCCCCTGAAATTTTTTTATTGTCACATTTAAGTTCATCAGCTTGCCCTGACCATTGCAGATTAGTTTTCATGACGTATTTGAATGAAATGTATGCAGCTGCTTTTGGGAGCATTAGTCTGCTATAACAGGGGTGAATAAACACCGGGTTTTGATAAAGAAAGTATTGTCAACTCTGTGTCAAGAGACTTGGAAGAGATACGGCATTCTGGCTTTCAGGGACAGGGAATTGATTCTTAGCATAATATTCTTAATTAAATGCTGTTGGAATAATTTGACTGTGCCATTTGCTTCAAAGCTTGTGTTCTGTTTTATCTTCAAATAGAGAGAATCAGTTCAACTTGCATTGAGACTTCTGGATGAGGCAGAAATTAGAGGCTATAAATTGCATGTTGAAGTTGCAAAGTTTCAGCTGAAGGGGGAGTATGATGCAAGCAAAAAGAAGAAGAAATGTAAAGACTACAAGAAGAAGTTGTCTCAACAGCAGAAGTTTGTATTTTTTATTTCAGTAAAACATTGCTTGAATTCTAAGTGCTGCTTTCTTTCAAATGCAATGCTAAGAGTTATGCAAAAATTCAAGTCCTATCTGACAGCAAAATAGCTTAAATAATACACATTTGGAGGGGAGAAGCTCCTAAATGTTGACATAATGAACTTCTTCGTTACTGACACGCTAAAATAGTACATAGGGAACCAAGATCCTTTCAGGTATAGAAGAAAATACTGTGACTCTGGGGAGATAAGACTTTCTTCTCAGTGTGTGAGTGTGCAAGTCCTGTAACCGTATCTGGGCTTGCTTTTATAAGGACATAACACTCCAGCTGTCCACACGCTGTTTGTACCATACTTTGCTAGTAGCAAAGGGCAAGAGGTGCCAGCTTCCATTGGAGTAAATACTAAAATGTCTCTGCAGATTCCTGCAGGCCTCTCTTGTATAAGATATGCTGTTTTTTTAATTGTACCTG